TCATTCATGACTTTCATTATTTTTAGTTTAAATGTGCTGTTTAAATATTTTTTAACAAATTTTTGCAAGTTATGTATTTTACTTCATTTTTCCCCCTTCAAGGATTTCAAGTTGATGACCCCCTACAAAATGATGCTAAAATGACTTTAGAAGAAGAGCAGGAGGAGATTAAAGCTGTTAAGTACCTCTTTGTTATGCAGGTTACTGCATCATCATTTTTTGATAATGCTCTTTCACTTACAAATCTTCCTGTTTTGCAGAGATAAATTTTGCTAACACACCAAATAAGAAAATAGCAAGAAAAAATGAATAAGGTAATAAATAGTAAAGTGCAACATATCACACATTTAAAGAATCTGTCAATTTCCCCCAAAGCAGATGAATCATCAATAGTGGCTGGAAACAGCGCCACCTAAATGTTTTTAAAGATGTTAAAAACCTCTTCTGCTTTACTTTGAGTAAAATCTGAATGCTAATATAATTTGAGACAATTCAATTTTGATTTTAGATAAGAACTGCAAGAAATTTACCATAGCAGGTCTTCTTGTCTGAGGAAAGCTTCATCAGGTGGGGGCAGGCACAAGCAGCACTCCTGTTGTGATTGATCAGGCACATGTGAGAGCAGGGGCCTTTGCCGTCATTAGCCGAGCAAGGATTGGGAGCTGTAATTACACAGTGAAATATTAACAGTGAGGAAGGAAGAATGTATTAGGGAACCTCTGAGGTTGACAGGGGTTATTCACTTAATGATTCAAAGTAAAATTTCCTACATAGCACCCATTAGGAGTGTGATTAATATGACAATAATAGATAATCATACACAGCAATTACATTAATAAAAACATTTTTTCTTCTCAAAGATAACTAAGATCAGTTCCTCATTTCCCTCTAAGATGAATGGCATGCATCCTATTGCCTTAGAAGCAAAGAGGTTTTTTAAGGATTTAGTCTGAGAAGCAATCAGAAATAATTACTGTATTTAGTATATAATAAACTCAAGTAGACTGTCTCCAAGACTTTGGTAGTTCCAATAGATGTTGTTCCAGTGGATTTTCCTAAACCACCATGTAGACTCCCTTCTTGCCTTGGCAAACCACTCTTAAACATTTCCCTAGGAATCTGCTGCTACATATATACCCTTCCTTCAGACAATTTGCTGTTTTTCAAATCAGAGGCCTGTCAAGAAATGTCTGTCTTCCTTCATTATTTAGTCATCTATTTCTTTATTGTTTTTTTTTTTTTCTGTTATCATCTAATTTCATGGCTAAGGTTTGCTCCATACTCACATACTTACAAAAGTCGATTGTATAAATAACTTATGATATATTCAAATTCAACTTTAGAG